ATAGTTAAAGGGCCCGTATTACCAGAGGTGAGACCAAGTCATGGTTTTGCAAGTCTCAAGTAAGCCTCAAGTCTGAGTCAAGTCCCAAGTCAAAAACAGGCAAGTCCAAGTGTAATAGAAATGCAGTTTTTCCTTTTTAAACGTCTTGACAAAATGAATCTTGACAAAAGTGAATCATTACAGTCGGAGTAGAAAGAATTCAGATTTAAAAGTGCTTCTCGAGTCAAGTCCCAAGTCACTGACCTTCAAGTCAAGTCTCAAGTCCTAAAAATAGTCGCGACTTGCAAGTCCCGCCTCTGCTTATTACTATATTTTCTGATCTATGCTATAATGGTGTTTCCTAATCAAAAACAGACCTGGAGTTGTGTTTTGTTTAATTCACACATTCAACACACAAACCTGCGTATTTAAACTGAGTTCTCGTAAACAAAAAACACTCTGTGCCACTTTGCAATGTCATGTGGCAATACAGGAAGTGCTCCACTCCTTATAGCTTCACTAGAATCATTTGGGTAATTTCAGGCCTGGAATTGCCAATCTCTACTGAACTAAAGGTAAAAGGTATCTGTTAATTTGAAAACTATCACTACATGACATCACAAAGTGGAACAGAGCATTTTGAGCTTTGGAGATGTGGATGGACTAATATTAAAGGATTACTCAAACATGTATCAATGAAACAAAACACAACTCCAGGCATGTTTTTGGATCAGGTAAAAGCATTATAACATGCCTTAAAGTTCACAAAAGCCAATTTTGTGCAAATGTGTTCACTTGGCATTGCTTAGAAAATGAAAATATCACTTTGTATCAGGGACTTATTTAAATATGAAAATAATAATAATAATAATAATTATATGTGCTATAAATAATTAAATTAAATTAACAATGACGCCATATGAAAGGCAATATGGGTACTAGAAAAGACTTAATTAAAACCATAATTTTAAAGATAAGTCAGTTTTCATTTAGTTTACGTCATTAAATATGTGTTAAATCTGTAGTGTTTCCTTTGTCCGCGCACACTGGATTTACATAATTGTTCTTAATTAACGAGAACTGGTGCACACTGGGCTAACAGGCTGTCCCTATAAGCAGCTTTGAAGTGCCTCAGTATTACTATGTGTGCAAGTGGTGTATTTAATGAACATTGTCTACACCAGTGGAAGAGCATATATGCAAATGAGACTGGACATTTAAGCCTGAGCTAATCTGATGAAGGAGATAATTTGTAAAATATGCAAAGTGCCAGTCCAGATTTAACGGTGAACTGTAAATGAATGGCTGGAGAGGTCTGAAGATAACATTAAGTAAATGGTGATTGACTTTCACAAACGGCTACTTCATTATGTTTTATTGGCCCTTTTAATTTGGGATGATTTGCTCTGCCCACTGACCATTTATAGAACTTGTGGTGTGTACATAGGGTAAATGGCACAGCCTGATGTCATTTTGTGGAGGTTCACATTTAAATATTGTGAGAACGTGAACCTGATGAGCTATTTCAAGGTCCTATATAACACAAAACTGACTCTTGTGGGCTTTAAATCATGTTATAATATTGTTACTTCATCAAAAATATACCTGGAGTTGTGTTTTGTTTGATTCATACATGTTTGTATAATCGTTTAGTCTGTCTCCATCTCCCGAAGCTCAAAATGTTCTGTTCCACCTTAGCCATTTTCACACACCACCACCAGACAAGGTGCAGAGAATCCTAGAAGGATCATGTCCCGACAATTTCATTCACACACGCCGCCATAGCAGCTGTTGGGCGTATACGGAGTCACACACCTGGGGAAATGCCGCGTGGGTTGGAGGCAAAGACGTAATAACACCAACAGAATCTCACACAAATATAAGATAGCTACAGGTGTGGAATGGATGAGGCCCTCACTGAGCAAACTGCGAACCATAAAAACCTCTCAATTAAAACAGTAGGAGAGAATATCTGCAGCCCTGACTCTCTTATTTCACAGAACCGGATTGTTTCACAGCAGCAGATGTGCATCAAACTGGGCTTTCACGCATCAGTCACACGTCCTTAAAATCCTGACCGCAGAGACGGAGGGCTCCACTCGGCTTATGGGAGGAGGCTAGCCTGCTGCCTGTCGCTGATCATATTCCAGTGCAGCGTTGGTTTTAATGCGTGTGCGCACGCTGTGTCCTCGTTTGTCTCCTGTTTCCCGCTTCGAATTCTGCTTCAAGTAGTCTGTAGTCTGTCTGGGACTCAGCAGCACTAGTTACTGCTGAAAGTTTAGCCTGAGTTTCCCCACACGTTTCTTGAGCTGCCTCGTGAGCCCCCGTTGACAAAATGTGATTGAGCTCTGAATGACGCTGACTGAGTGGAGCCTGTAGACTTGTGCGTGCTGCTTATTGGACATACCAGACTATACCTATAGAACCTACACATTCACAATCAGCACTGTGATGGTTTAAGCAAGTTCTATAATTTGGGTAAATTTAATCTGGTTTCATGGTAGGCTTATTAAAATTACAGCTTTCAATAAATAGTAAATAAAAATTCAAATGCACATGGTCTAGCAATTCACAGAACTCTGAATATGCAGTTTGGGTTTTGTGTGTTAAACATGTGTGAATGAAACAAAACACAATTCTATGTTTTTGGTGAGGACACAACATTATAACAATTAAATAATGTAGAAAGTAGTGGTGAAAGTAGTGTACTATACCTTTTCTAGAGGAGGATCCACCTGCTTGTCTCCATGGTGATGCTTTGGGTGACATTTATTACTATGCTCCTCTATTAATCTAGTGTATTGTTTTCTATTAATCAGTTAATTGTTTAAAACTTGAACATAAGATATTTACCGATCCAGATAAAGCTGAAGTGAACCCGCTTGAGGTCAAAATTTGTTATCTTGTTTTTTTACTTCTCTGTCCAAGTCCTAAAACATCTTCTCTCATCTTATGACATGTTTTGGAGCCTACGACTAGTTAACTATTATCAGATTGTTTAAACACTATGAAGGGGGAGTGACTTAACATGGGGAGCAAGGGGAGTGGGAACTCAAAGCCAGAGCATCAAAAACTAAACTGAAACTATTGAAACATTTTAATGCTTTGTTGGCAAAACAAAAGGTAAAAATGTTATCTAAATATGTAAAGTGCAATTAATCAGTGAATGCCCCACACATATAATACCTCGTCTTTACTATTACATTAAACATTAATAGTAAACTAACCTAGGCCAAAATCATTACAAAAACTCCAGTCAGTGAAAGTATTGGACAAGATATATTGAAATGTGGCCTGTGTGAAGCTTATTGGCCGTGCACTTTGAGGCACCAGCCCCCTGCCCTGTGTGGAAATAGATTTTTACCACAGAGGCTGATTGGGTCTTTTACACATTCACCTCTTGGAGCTGTAGTTCTCACCGCAGTGTGAATTTAAATGTATTTCAACCTGGAGACACTCAGACAGACCTAAAGAGAAAGTATTAGATGTTTTATTGAATGAGTTAGCCTTGGCGCTCAGACCCCCATAGAAGACTTTGCAATGAAGGGTGTGGCAGATTAGATTACGTTTAGGAGAGCACTTACCCCCATGGCCTAGAGAGAGAGAGAGGATGAAGAGAGTGAAGGGGAAAATGAGAGGATGAGGAGAGTGAAGTGGACGATGAGAGGATGAGAAGCTGAGGTGGTGCTGAGGAGGAGGTGGGGCATGGCACAAACCGAAGCAGCCGTGCACCTGTAATGTGGGTTTAAATTGGGCAGAGTGGACACGGAGGAAGGGCGGTGAGCAGTGAAGAGAAGTAATGGAAGTGAAGTGATGAAGGCAGGTAAACTCTGGAGAAGCTGTGAGGTAGATGGGAGCAAAGATAGGTCCAGGCTGAATATACACTAGCTCCATTTGTATAGCAGAATTCGTACACAGTGATTCAAAGTGCATTGCAGATTAAGACATTAAAGACTTAATCAGTCTCGTCCCTAGTGTCTGTATACGCTGGTGTGTGAATGTGTGTGTGAATGGGTGAGTCATTGCTTGATGTAAAGCTCTTAGAGTGCCTTTGAAGGTGGAAACGTGCTATATAAAAATATGACTGTTTACCAGTCTAACCTACTTTATTACCATTGAAAGTTATAAAAAATGTATGCATTGTTGCTGGTAATAAAAGTAATTCATTTTATTTATAACATACTTCACAATGACAAAGAATTCTCAGACTGCTACAAATAAGAAACAGATGGATAAAACAATAAAATCCATATCAATACAAAGGGTTCAACATCTCAAATGAAAATACTACCACCAGCTTGTCTCTAACAAGCCAATGTGGCCAATAACTTTGCTGTAAAGTCTGATCCCGTCAGATCTCAGAAGCTAAGCAGGGCCAGTCCTGGTTAGTACTTGGATGGGAGGCTGCTGGGAAAATCAGGTGGCACAGTGGGGCACCAGTCACAAAAACTTTGTGTTTTTAGGCAAAACAATTCACTCACATTGCCTAGAATGAAATTGATGTGTGCGTGAGTGTTGGTGGCGCCAATTGGCAGCTGTGCTTCAGTCAGTCTGTCCCCAGGGCAGCTGTGGCTACCTATAGTAGCTTACTACCACCGGGTATGGAGTGAATGAATAATGCTCTGGAAAGCGTCTTTGTGACAAATGTCTGTGAAAAGTGCTATATAAAAAAATAATAATAATAATAATATTTTGCCTGAAATATTCCACAATATGCCATTAAATATATTTTGCATGTCTTCATTTAAAGGTGTTTTTATTGCTCAAATATACCATGAAAAACATACACTCTACTTTAAACAGGATCACTTCTCCATAGATCTGACTTGCTTTTCACATGGGACATAGATAAGTTAAATGCCATACTGTGGAACATTCCAGGCAAAACAATAACATCTAAATGTAAACAAGCAGGTGGCGTATATCCTCCACCTTTAAGTTTTTGTTCCTGCTTCTATACCAACTCCAGTCAGTTTTCAGTTGTGTTCTAATAAACTTCTTCTTCTTCTCCATTGTTGCAGGTACTACGTGTGTGTGGCTATCCTGATCTACTTCCTGCCTCTGCTGGTGATGGGCTGTGCTTATCTGGTGGTGGGTCTGTCTCTGTGGGCAAGCGAGATCCCAGGAGACTGCTCAGACCGCTACAAGGAGCAGCTGACCGCCAAGCGCAAGGTGAGCCCTGCCAAAACAATACGGGCCTATCTGATGTGGAGGGGATTATACTTATACAGCCTGGGGTATAGGGGAGGGAGGTCACTATACTGCTGTAAAAACTGAGTGTGTCCTTGCTGTAAATAAGTGTGAAATAGAAAGTAAAACCAAAGACTATAAACAAGAAACAGTTGAATAGATGACCGATGACAGATGACTGATGACTGACAGGACAAAGGGTTATCTATTACATAAGGATGTACAGCTTTATGGAGTATGGCATGAATGTAGTCCTGTATGGAGTAAGAAAGCTGTCAAAAATATTCGTGCACATAAAATAGAAATCCGTGCGTATTTGGGAAATCCGTGCATATTTGGCTGTAGTTGCGCATAAAATAAATATTTGTAAACTCTCAAATGAGTCCAGTCTTAAATAAAATATATTGTGTGTATTTTATCCATCAGAATACGAATTGAAAAATTACGACATTATGAATTACAATCACGAAATGAATATTTACGATTACGCTTTCATCAGTACGAATACGAATTCACAGACGGAACTTTACTGTCAAAAATACGTCATCACTTCACAGATATTATTCATCGAGCAGAAGAAACATTGATCAAGATCAAGACTGCGCAGCTCAAGTTTGTAGCAGAGGGTAAAAACAGAGTAATAGTACAAGAAGCTACAACAGCGACCAACAAGTGGGTTAATTCAAATCTATTGTAAAAATGTCTTGAATACGGGAACCGAACGCTGCTGTATAATATTGTGTAGAAACACCTCCTTTGAACGGGAAATTGCACCTATATGTTAGATAACATAGCGGTAGCCAGTTGGCTAACATCCGACGTAAGTTATCCCAGGGCTAATTAACAAATATCAGGTTCTCTGTATGTTTAGATTAAAACATTCACGACTACAGCCACAGCGAGCATCAGCCAGTCCATGATGGAGAGCAGTTTGTAAAGTGTCCTCCTGTCCCTGTCCCTCACTGCGACAAATGTCTCTAGCTTGCAGCTGATTACGTGCCCAGCTTTATGGATCAGTTTGTCAATCCACCCAGTGTCCCTTTACTGTTGTCCCTATAGTCAAGTTGTAAGCTAATGTCTAAAAGCAAACATTATTAACAGAATCCGCAATAGTTGAAAATGTCAGAAATATTTGGTGAATTTTATCAAGAGAAAAGACGTTATTGCCCTTCTTCGTACTGGATTTGAGAAAAGCTTAATATACCAGTAAGCCCTGTTAGAGGCGCATTACATACGTCATGACCAAATAGAAGCGATTTGAATAAAAAAGTACCCACCTACCGTCGAGCGAATGAATCCTATGCTGCAAGGTCAGATGGCTTCTATGAAGTGAAACCGGATGATGAATCAGGCTACTAAAGAAATTCTTGTTTGACTAAACACATGTCTTGCTCATCTGTTAATTGACCAAAAAGGAGGCATGACATCTCTTTGTATCTAACTCGAACTGCACTCACAAGACTACAACTATTTATGCAGAAAAGTTCAATCTGCCTTTTGAATAAATGCTTAATTTTGAATCTTAAAATTTTTATTGGTTTAACACTGGACTGGAGAAAATATTTCAAGAATAAACACATAGAACAGTGATAAAATATAACAGATTTTGTATATAAGCACATATAGTACTTATTTTTAATTAGCACAATGCATTCAAAAAGTAAAAACCCTTACTGCTATATCTGAGTACATTTGTCATATGATAAACTTAAAAACAGCTAGTACAAATCTGGCGCATTAAGATGACGTTTCATAATGACGTGTGTGCAGTGTAACAGTTATATTTGTGGCTCCCCTCACTCCTGTGTCACTGCTTTCAGGTGTCCTCACCCCATAACTTCATTCTTACCGCTCTTGTCCAGTCTTGTCTATGATGCTTCAGGTGTTGCTGGTCATTATCAGTTTGACCTATGTAGCTTTTCTGGCAGTCAACACCTGTTTTCCTCCAGAAGATATTGCTTTGCCTGGAATGTTGGACAGTAGGTTATTAAATGTTTCTATCTGGCATTCATTGAATTCCAAGTGCTTGAAGAATTGTTTGTGAAGAATTGAGATTGTGGAGTGTGACATTCTTCAGGCCAACACACACCAGAGATTGACACAACATTTGACACATGTTAAACTGTCACAGCTCTTAAAAAAGCTTTACAACTGGTGTTATAAAGTAGCGTTGTATCTGCAGATTACTTATAAAATGAGAGAAACAGCGTGAGGCAGTGACAGCAGAGGACAGACGGTGCTTGGAGCAGGTTATAGAGAGTTTAGCTAGAGGCAAGAGTTTCCCACACGGAGAGAAGCAGGAGAGGAGCCAGTGTTCCGCCGAGATGAGCAGCAGGGCTTTCTCTGCCTCTCTTGCATCTCTCGTGCCTCTCCTCCAAGCTTACAGCGCTCCTTTTGTTGGTCACAAAGTAGAGACATGTCTGTACTCAGCGCAGAGTGTATGTGTTTTGAGACACAGGCACTCTTCTTTTGTGCACACACACACATAGAATATAAGACAGCATCAAAGTGTCTTGGTGTGCCTTGGCCTTTAGTGTCACGTTTTTTATGTTTTACATTCTGCCTATTAGAACAACAAATAAAGAAAAGAACCTTATCATCTGACACTTCAATGTATCTTCCACCCACTTTAAAAAAAAAATTTGTTCTATGGCTCATTTCACATTAAATTGAGGGCCTGTTTACAGCCCTGCACACCCATGGAGCCCCCGGGACCCAACGCAAAACAGTACGACACAGGACACATTTTGAAAGCTCACTGTGGGCGCTGGCGGAAGCGGGACTACACAACAGGGAAGCGGGCGGGTGGAATGATAAAATTAATATGAGTGTAAAGTAAAATATACAAATGGTTCATTTATGCCTATCATGCATAATTTGTGCTGGATATTTTATTTGGCCTTAATAAAAACATTTTTAGCAGCCTAAAATTTGCATATGTAATCTAATCTCATGCCCATTTTAGACAATTCATTTCCACTTCTCCGTGTTTAATAGAGCTTAAGAAAGCAAATGTCCCCATCGTGGTGGACTTGCGGGCTGGAGCGGGATTGAAAATTATAATTCTTGAAAATTCAGTCCCGTGCAGACCTCTAGTTTACATGAGAACGCTTGCGGGTAAAAATGACAAAATATTTTATCAGAAGTGCCTTTCATTTAGACTGTGACGGTGTTTTTAGGGCTTAAAAACACAAAAATCTGAAACCACCTTCCAGAGTGGAAAAGTTGAATACGCTCCGCTGTAGCGTTTCCGTCTACACTGCCCAAGACGCAAAACTCTGGTCAGATCTGCTCACGTCGCGTACGCGTTTACGTCATATACATCACCACCTAGCCACCTGGCATGCAGACCCAATCGAATTCCACACACTTTTGCGTCACCGTATGCACGCAGATTTCCTCCCGAAAACGCTTGTCTAAATGCAGAATAAAAAGTCAAAACGTTACTCCACTTTTGCGTCTTCTGTTCAGACCGTCATCATATAAACGTAGCTTGACTTTAGAACGAGCCTCACACGAGTCTCTCATTTGGGTTGCGAGTTTCAGGGGTGAAATTCAGTTGGTTTAAACCTAAAAATACTTCCCTGATCTGAATCCTCACTACCTAAACGCCGGCACCTACAGCCAATGCAGTATATGCGCTTTATACTGACAACGAGAAAAACTCTGTGTCCTCTTTATGGTTAAGACGCTGGTAATAAGCTAGAAGCGTACAGTTCCTTTAAAATAAACATTAATGCAGCGACTCAATAAATAAAAGAACTCTCCTGTACCAGACCTGCTTTCCATAGCTTTGTACAAGAGACATCCTTGAAAGCCCATAGATATATTCAAAATGAGATTCAGTAAGCTAAGAATTGTTGACATGTGGAAATAGCATGTTTGGCGTTTATTTGGAGCTGTGTCTTTGAAATCCTTCACAAATGAAAGGGAACATGTGGGATCAAACTGACAAAATGAAGTGAAAGGCATAGTGGGACTCCAAAGCTATATACTATTGCCCCGAGATAAACAAAGCTAGAGACATGTGTTTAAGATTATTTGATTTTAGTTTCATTTTGAGAATAAGTACGTGTGAGCTGTAGGTTTTCATAGTTTTCGAAGAGTATTGACAATTTCTACTCATGTAAAAGTATAGTCGCATAGCTAATAATTTACTGCTGCCAAATTTGTACTCAAGTGAAAGTAAAAGTTCAAAAAGTCTAGTTACTAGTTACAATTTGATGCAATTAAAAAAAAAACAACAACAACTGTGTAGAACTGAATTTTGTATTTCATACTACTTTCATATTCTTCAATACAGTGTAAATATGCAATACAAATATGTGTGCAGATGTAGTGATGAGTCAGTTTTGGACAATTGGACAACTGGGACATGAGTTGTATTCAGTAACTCCTCTAATTTTAAATGTATAGTAAAGCTATATGCTAGAATTATGCAAAATTACAAGTACAACATTAAAAAAATCTACAAAAACTACTATCTGCTCTGCTTCTAATTCTGAAGCCTTTCATTGCCCGATTATCAGGAAGCAAAGCTTTGGTCTCTGAGAATTGTGAAAGGTAAATGAAGAATAATTTTGGACAACTGTTAACCATTTAAAAGGAATTTGTTCTACTTTTCATTGTGTAACTTTTCTGGTGGAGGGTCCATCAAATGCTTTTCTCCATGGAGATGTTATTGCTTTGTCTGAAATCTTTTACAGTATGGCATTAAATCTTTTGATCATCAAGTTACAGATCAGATCTGTGGAGAAGCGACCTGAGAATGCCTGTTTTTCGAGGTATTTTTGTGTTATAAAACCACATGTAATTAAATAAATGTAAAGCAGAGCTGTTTAATGCCATAGTTTGGAACATAGAAACAAGCAGGTAACGGACTCTCCACCAGATTTACATAGTGCAACTTTAACTTTAAGATGGTAAAAATCAGATACAGTGGCAAAGCCGGTTCTCCGAGTAATATTTCTTCTTGTTTTTTC